AATGCTATTATTTCGGATTAAATTTTCATACAATGCAAACCTCATCTCCGGAATTAGCATTAAATACAATGGCTATCCGTTTGAGATATGATTGAGTCTGACGTGTGTTTCTACAGGAATCACAAACCTATATTTCGAGAGTGATATTTAAGCGCTTTTTATACTGTTGAAATAAGCTCTGATGTCATTGCCCTCGGATTCAACTTCTCGAAGGAATCCGATTAAATGTCTTTAATTAGCTTTGGTTTAATGGTTTGATTACAACGTTTTGCCAATTCTTGTTGTTATTCTGAGGCAAATATGGACTCAATTTTAATCTCTCCTAAAGTTATGTCCGCCGGAGCGGCCGACGGATCGATACCCTGAGATTCTCACAAATTATTGATGAATGATTTCAGAGTTTAATTTTAATTATGAGTTCTCCACTTTTTTCACGTTTACTGTAATGACCGGGTATTTAACGGCCAATAGTTAGTCCAATACTTCACAACACAAATAAATCCGTTATTTTTTAATTGTCAAGAATGCTAACACTTATGTCATATCAATCATCGCAACGACGTCACCGATCGGACCAAACTGTATGGCAAAAGTCCGTCTGTCTCTGTTCGCATATACGCTCACAAATAGAGTTACCGTAAGTATAGTTTATGTTCACCGCGATTTCCGACGAAATGGACGACAAGATCACAAAATGGTCTAAATTATAGTACAATTTTTGGGTCAATTGATCCAAATTCTTGAAAGTCGTTTTTCTTATGTGAACGGTTTTCATGAATGTCTCGAAAGACACTTCACTGAAGAGACAATTGTTTAAATTAAGGGCCAAAATGAAAGACACCACCGATGAGTGCGCCCAATTCTTTGCACTCATTTAACATTAGTTTTGTACTTTGAATAATAAGTCAGCCGTAGAGTCATTACTTAATTGTTAAAATAGTTATGTCTTTTCCCAAAAGCTATAATATTATGCGATTGACAATATATTTCTGTTAATCATTTTTAAGACCCGAACGGGAAGTCAACACCAATCACTTCGCCCCGTTATATACCATACATTGACACAACTTTAAACAAAAGGCACCCAAACATCCGGTTATTATATAAGTCTTATAGGGATTAAAATAAGTCTTTGTACTGACAGTCATATTATTGGCCGGTTTTATGAATTTCCACGGCTGTCGGTTCACCATTTTTTTCACGAATACGGATAACTATTTTTCCCGATATGTTTATCGGTAGTCATATATCGGAGGGCCTTCTCCGCGTCTGCGGCCAAAAATACCGTTCGATTTAACGGATTTACGCTACCATTGGTGCAATTCTGGTGAACCCATGTATAATATGCATTTATTTTGTACTCCCGAGCCATAACACTCTCATCCAATGAAACACAGATAATAAACAAATCTCTTAATAGGTTATGCATCGGAAGCGTTTTATTTATAAACAAATATATTTTTCCCAACTCCACAAACCGTCAGCCTGTGCCCACACACTCATAGCTCGCGTCCAACTTATCGCCGGCCAACGAGTTGAGCACCAAATTCACTTTCCGTTCGGCAGTCGATCGCATCACTTGACTCTTGTATTGAGTACTTTTCGACGGGAATATCTTCTTTGCCGATATTTAGTATGTATTTATGAAAAACTGTTTCTACTCTTCGGTGTCGACCGTCGCGTATATATCGCGCCCCATATATTCGCACACATTAATGGCCGCCTGACCCACAGGTCCAGACGCCGAATGGATTAACACATTCTCACCTCGCCTGATATGTGCCTTTTCTATGAGTCCATACCAGACCTTGAAATACGGATTCAAAATAGTGACCGCTTCTTTCATTGACCAGTTGTCGTGTATAGTTGTGAACAATTACGGATCCACATGAGTACTAATGGCCACAGAGTTGCCTATATTTATACAAATAACCCAGTCGCACGTATCGGCTCGACGGCCGGCAAACTCGTATTTAATTTGCTTTGAAATAGTATTAAATAAACCAGTATTTTGCCTGAGGCTATGATTACGTCCCGGAATACTATTGATGAAATGTAGATATTGGTAGTAACCATTTGTCTCTTCATATAGGTCACGTCGTTGTAGTATTTAAACGTGGGGACACATGTGGTATTTGTTCACTCGAGTGAAGACAAATCCCGACTCTTTCCTAAACCCTAAACCCGACGCTTTCCTTTCCTAGACTGAGTTTTCTATCTCTGATTACATTTGACACCAAATCGTTGGCTAATATATCGCTAAATGGATTTCAATTAAAGTCTAAATCTGCATTTGTATTATTTTTGTTGTAAATGAATTTATATCTGAAGTGTTCGCCTCCCGGTTCCAGACATAAACTATTTGCTAAACCCATTGCTCCGTTAATACACGAGTCGTTTTCAATCAACCAAACTCGTAGACTGTCGGCACCCAATTCCCTGGCCATCAGTAGTCTGTCTTTTAATACTGGGAACCATTGCTCGCATTTGCCGTCGAATTGTATGATATTATGTTTGTCCGAAAGTATCGGTTTCAAGACTTTCCTGAAAAGTACAGCCTTTGAACCAATTGTATCGCATTTACTGCATATCACTCTGAATCTCATTTCATTGCCATAAGTCATGAAATCATTGATGCATTTTTCGATATATGAATCCGTGACCTAATTTCCAAACAATGAATCCAATGCGATCTCCGGTTCGGTCAGTTTATATCGTAATTTTATTAATTAAAATCCATTGCTTTCGATTGCAAGTCTTGGATCAAGTTTTGGTAAATTCAATTTCCATAAATGGAGCAATTATTTAACTTCAAAATTATACTCTTTTTGATATTCCATTCAAAAGCATTGAGTTTGAGATAATCGGGTATTAATTGTTTGGATTTAACTATCAATTTGTAGTCGATGTCAGACCACATGAACAGTAAGTAAACGAGAGCTTGTTTTTCATGGTTTCCATCAAATCGTTTGTGAGATTAATTTCCGGGACTTTCATCTGTTTTACGGATAAAACATTATCGCCGATTATCTCAACCATATATCAGATTAAGCTCTCATTTTTTACGAGATTTACTAAATCATGGCTTAAATTGTATTCACAATTAGTCTGCATTTAGTTGTATAAATTTTTAAATTTATGTTTATTGTTTAGTTTAATGTCTTGTTTAGCAATTGTTTCGTGAATTTTGTCAAAAATCTTAAACATAACGTTATTATCAAAATTTTCATTTTTATGGCTTTGAATCATTTCTTCGCTAATCTTTCTGTAATTGAAATCAAATTTCATTTCATTGAAACTCATTTCACGTATTTTTATAGATAATGCTTTGCAAACTTCAATACTATCAATAATTAGTTTCCTGTGTCTGTCATCGATGGCCATACTGTCGTCGTTGGCGATAAACTCATGTCTCTTTAAAACGAGATTGGGATAAGTTTTGCTAGTGATACAAGCAATGATCATATTATACACTTCTGTGCCGTATGCGAGCACACAATTGATGGACGGGTCGAACACTACCAGCAATTGGGACCGAAAGAGTTGAACCCGTACGGCGAGATTGTTAGGGATATTGCGGCCGAAATCGTTTAGACACCCGTCGGCCGCATCGGCGGTCACGACGCCTTCGACTCCGTCTGTGTCCACCACTTCGTCGGCCAAACGATTCCTATTCAGCGCCTCCAAGAGTGATTTCGGGTCGACATTTATGGCGTCGATCATCACCGGAACCACGAGTTTCAGGAACGGAAGCAAACAACCGGTCAGTTGTAGCAAACCGTCCAAATGACGGACCTGATATGACTACAGACTCTTTAGCGTTATAACACACAACGAAAACCGCTTTTGGCCAGACGTTGAGCGCCTCAGTTTTCGACAGCCCCACGATTGCCGTCAAACCCCTCGATATCTGTGAATCACTCTCAGTGATGGCACCCCTGAAGTACGTGACAATCATCGCATCCTTTGTGCTGAGACACCCGAGTGCACTCTGGGCATTATTTGATCATTATTATTTGTATACAGTAAGACCCGATTATAAGAAAGTTATAGTTTATACGAGTTGCTGATTCAATCATTGATTTTCAACAAAAATTGCATCAATAGTTGTCATTCGTTTTTGTAAAATAGCCCAAATCAATTGATTTTGGTTTTGATTTTCTGGTTTTAATCGATTATTATTTTTATAAGAACGTATTTTACAAAATGAAAAGTTTGTGGTCATAAAATACACTGTAAATTCCGTACGTAAAATACATGGTTTGTCTTATTGCCAAACCTAATATAGTGAGCGAAATCGAAAACCCGAACCCGAGTTAAACCCGAACCCTTTAGGGTTTGGGTCTGGTTTGTAAAATTCGGGTTGGGTTCGGGTTTGGGTTTGAGCTAATGTGAACCCGAACCCGAATCAGGCCCTAAACCCTAACGTAAACTTTATACTCAAAAGACATTCATGAGCTCATATAAGTGTTGTTTTGTAGCACAAATTACTATTAATATAATCAAAATAAGTCAAAAAGTACTATTTTATAGTTTAAACGTGGCCACAGTTCAGCCATAAATGTAATGAAACGCTTGTAAAACCTACTTTACTGTAATATTTTTCGGGTTTAAGGTTCGGGTCGGGTTCGGGTCGAGTCTGTTCGGGTTGGGTCGAAGATTTTGTCGATATTTCGGTCACTAACCTAATACACACACAATCATTTATCAATGAAACACATATATTTTTTTGTTTTTAATGTTTTTATTTATGTCCAAAAAAATATTATATGGCTAACAATTTAGTTTTTATATTTATTTTGTAAATTTAATATTGCAAATGATTTTTGAGATTTCAGTGGGCGTGGGAGGAGCGGGGGTACCGGGAATTGCCTAGTAATAATAAAAAGAAATGACACAAAAATAGAAATATATTGATATAAACGAAAAAGTAAAACAAGTTTTCAAAATAAATACAATAAAATTATTTCTTGATATAAATTGGTTTCTCGATATCAACGATGGGTTCGTTCGCGGCGTTAAATCCTAACGACTCGTGAGACTGCGGATCATGAGGGACTGTTTTATTGTCGTCCGAATCGATGGCCAAAAGTTTCATAAGTTCTCCAAAAGACATAACTTCTTGAAACCAAATGATAAACGGTTTGTGAAGACATCCAAACAAGTGTTGTCACCATTTCGTCGATAATGTCTTTGACGACCAGTATTTGATTCATTCATTTCTTCTTCGATAGATGTCTGGATCTAATGAACGAATCGGCGAAACACGTGATGAAAGCCTTCTTTCCCAATATAGTGATCGCTTACGGTATTTAAGAGTTTGATTATAAGCCTGTATTTGTGGCCACACTTTATGCTGTAATCACTTCATTTCATTTGATCCCAATTGAAGGCCAAAGCGATGAATTCAGTTTCATTATCCGTCGGGTCTCTGATCTGTACAAAAGGCGACAAAACAAGATTACATCACTTATCGTCTCGTCCTTTACCTCTGCGTTCGTCTTCTATTGGTCGCAGTATTTCGTCAACAACTCTACGGTTGCCAACGATTGTCACCAATCGGTTCCACTTCAATACCCACCCGCGTTCGACGGCCGGTGTGTTCTGTATCCCAACGCGAAAGTAGTGATGGATTACCTGCGATGGCGTCAAGTGGACTGTCATATCAATAATCTCTATAACACGACATTTCACGCCCTCACCGGTCAGTACACCAAATACGTGGCCAACACTTCGGGCGACAATTGCTATAGTTTTTCGACCGATTGGAGGCCACAGACGGGCGACAGACCCGCGCCGTTGACAGCCAGAGAGGCGACCGAAAGGCTATCCAAAACTGTGAGTTCCGATAAACACGAGATACTGTTCACCGAATACGGCATTAATTACAACAACGAATTGGAACAGTTCAAGAAGGGGTCAGTCATTCATCTGAATATCAGTCAACAACTGTTGGAAAGTATTGTCTCTAAGAATAAGAAGAAACACAATATTTTGAACCAATTGGGAGACGAAGCGGAGGACACGGATATCAATCAATACCTATCCCTTAATTATATCGATATTATTAAAGAAGAGTTTTGGACACAAAACGAAACATTACTTTCTTAGCATTAATTTCATTGACATAATTAATCATGTTTTTATATAATAAAAATATTTGCAGTAAAGATAATTGGTTTGTATCGCGAGATTACATAATGATTATTATTTTTGAGCAAAATTTACCATTTTTGAAATTCTATCGTTTTTTTACTGTCAATTATAACACAAAATATCTATTTTAAGAAATCCGCCCCCAATTCGTAGCTTTTATAATGGCAATGATTTTTGCAATTTTGGGTATGAATTATCAGATTTGTTAAATGTATTTTCAATTAATTTCGTAATTTGAAATGCATTCCCATTTAAGCATACGTTTGGTGTTTAACATCGATAGCAAATGGAAACGACTTTTGCCAGACTTTTATGGCAAACAATAATACAATTGATTTCGGGTTTCAAACCGTCACATCAGAGCAACAAAACCCACAGAAATTGCAATTCTTTATATCCATAAACAATATGTTATGGGAAATGACTTTTAGTGACACACGATTGACGGCTTATTTGAATGAAAGCAGTTTTAATAGCTCTTTAGTAACAGAAGAATATGATTTTGTGGTCACTATTACATCAAGTCTTCAATTGCAACAAAATTTAGCATTCGTTAACGTATGGATCAGTTGAATGGCATTTTAATAACATATTTATTATTTGTAATAATTTCTAGATAAAGAACCAATGGTTGGATTACTTTATGTATTTAAAAAATGACTCGCGTTTGGATTCATTGATCAGAGACTCTAACATTCCTAACAAACAAAACATTTCATTTCAACCCAATTCTACCGAAAAAGTGATTGCATTTATGCCTCCATTCGATGACCAAAACTTTATCAATCGTTTCATTTCAATGCAACAAAAATATGTTTCAAATACCAGTCAATACGAGAGAGAATTTTGGAAATACGAAATTCAATTTCTAAATCAAACAAGATTGCATCCGTTTGCCCATGATACTTCTTATAACGCGAACCACGATTTGGTTAATGAAATGACCGCTAATTTGTCATTGATTTCGTTGTTTCGCTATCGAAACAATTCATACAATGGTTTGATTGCATTGTTTAGTGACCACATGTCTATCAAATACTGTTTCGCGCAAACAAATGACACAAAACAAGTAACTATTGATACAAATGTCTAAAATTAGTTTTTAATGCAATTTTTGAATTAATCATTGAGTGCGAGGACTCGGCGCTAAAACCACTGATTGATTGCCAAAAATATTTGTCAACCACTGAATTGATCACAACTGCATTCACTACAACACCGAAACCAGGGAAAGCAGACAATGAAACCCTTTTAATTATCATTGGTTTGGTTGTGATTATTGGTCTTATAATAGCCATTGTATTAGTTCTCGTGTTTTATAAAAAGTCCGACCAAAAGAAAAGCCCAAAAAGTGGATACAAAAGCCCACCGAAAACGAGTAATTGAAACAATTTGATGAATAATTAATTTGAAAACTTACCTAATGTTCAGTTCATTTAGTGAGACCACAAATAAGTGAAAGCGAAAAACTTGAGCGATATTTGAGTCGTAAACAGAATTTGGATGTTTTGGAGGAACAAAATATGTTAACAAAAGAGATAAAAGTTGATCCGCAGTCTCACGAGTCGTTAGGATTTAACGCCGCGAACGAACCCATCGTTGATATCGAGAAACCAATTTATATCAAGAAATAATTTTATTGTATTTATTTTGAAAACTTGTTTTACTTTTTCTTGATCCGCAGTCTCACGAGTCGTTAGGATTTAACGCCGCGAACGAACCCATCGTTGATATCGAGAAACCAATTTATATCAAGAAATAATTTTATTGTATTTATTTTGAAAACTTGTTTTACTTTTTCATTTATTTCAATGTATTATTATTTTTGTGTCATTTCTTTTTGTGATTATTTAATTTTAGAACTAAATAAAAACTTTATAAATAACTTATATTATTAATAAGTCATTTTATAATCAATTTTTGAAACTTTGAACCCTTACTTGTTAGAAAAACATGATTTACTGTTAACACAATACATTAATTTGGGTGTTTTTATACAGTATTAACTAATTGTAAAAATTGTATTTTCCCTTCTAAACACGAATCAATTAAACACATGACTTATGACTTAATTTTTAAAAATCATTATTAGCCGTAGAATCTAATCATTAGATTCTAATGTTAAAACTCATTCATTGTATTTCAATGTAATATTTATTGTAATATCAAAAATAACATAATAATTGATTTTTGTTGGTCAACACCCGTCAAACAATTAAATATGCAAATTAGCTCGTACCCGGACAAAAGTACCAGGACAAAAGTACCAGGACAAAAGTACCAGGACAAAAGTACCAGGACAAAAGTACCAGGGCAAAAGTACCAGGGCAAAAGTACCAGGGCAAAAGTACCA